TAACGTTAATGTTACAAGCTGCGTGTTAGCTAGCTCTGTGTGTATTTTGTATAGCTACCGTGTTCCCTTTGACACAGCCTCCACTACAAGCACGATCACTCTGACATTAGAAGAGCATTTTTCGTGATTCACGAATTTGAGCCAAAACAAAATTGCCCTGAAGTAAATGTCCATATCGTCATGAAAGCTTCATGGCTAGTGTTTGGATCAGTGGTGATGATCATCAAGCGGCTTTCGCAATCGTGTGTTTGCGTTTTGTGTTAGACTGCTACGGTTCTCTTTCACATTTGACCGTGACCGTGTCGTCAGGGCTGTAGTGGAGGCTAAACGCAGTTTACCCACCGCTGAAATTATGTCAGAAACAGTTTATCCACTTCTCACTTCAGAGTTTAGCTACCTCTCAGTAAATTCACTACCTCGTAGAGTTTATGTAACTTTACCACATGTATTACCACTAGTATTGGTGTAAACATTTAATTGTAACATTCAAATCATCAAATATGTTCTGAATTTCTTTTATGTATTTTTTAAAACATTTAGTAGCGCATATCAGGGTCCACTGTACTGTAATCTCCCTGGCAATCTCGTAACATTCTGTTTACTGTTTATGTTTGCTATAATTCATATGCAGGACAATTTCATGTGTTTCCATTAGTGGCAATGATCTTTATACAGCATTATTATTATGTCTGCAGGTTATGCAACATCATTAATGAAGGCCCTTCGGGAAAGCTACACCAATTCACCTGCAGCTCTTCGAGAGGTTAGCGCCAGTTTGTCCTGATGCACCCGCCCCCATCGCCAAATCCTTCAAACAGGTTCCTGAGGAGGCCGTCAGCCTCTACCTAGCCCGGCAGTCACGCTACAAGAACCTAATTTCACATTATTTTCTTTCCACAGACATGTCCAATGATTTAGTTGTAAGTATTCATTTAGTGGTGGTTTCCTGCATTCTGCATGTTTTTTTTTCTTTGTGTGCTGTTGCTTTGGTTTTACTTTGCACAAAATCATTACTTTTTTTCTTAGGCTATTGATTCCCGTGATCTTGCTTATAAATTCCGATTCAGCCATTAGCCTACCTTCGTGATCACGCAAAGAGGTCTGGAGAGGCGGTCCGTTCAGAATTACAACCAACATAAAATATAAGTGTGCATGTACAAATTTGCAGTAATGTTCGGTAAATATAAACTATATATATACACTCACCGGCCACTTTATTAGGTACCCCATGCTAGTAACGGGTTGGACCCCCTTTTGCCTTCAGAACTGCCTCAATTCTTCGTGGCATAGATTCAACAAGGTGCTGGAAGCATTCCTCAGGGAGTTTGGTCCATATTGACATGATGGCATCACACAGTTGCCGCAGATTTGTCGGCTGCACATCCATGATGCGAATCTCCCGTTCCACCACATCCCAAAGATGCTCTATTGGGTTGAGATCTGGTGACTGTGGAGGCCATTTTAGTACAGTGAACTCATTGTCATGTTCAAGAAACCAATTTGAAATGATTAGAGCTTTGTGACATGGTGGAAGTAGCCATCAGAGGATGGGTACATGGTGGCCATAAAGGGATGGACATGGTCAGAAACAATGCTCAGGTAGGCCGTGGCATTTAAACGATGCCCAATTGGCACTAAGGGGCCTAAAGTGTGCCAGGAAAACATCCCCCACACCATTACACCACCACCACCAGCCTGCACAGTGGTAACAAGGCATGATGGTTCCATGTTCTCATTCTGTTTACGCCAAATTCTGACTCTAACATCTGAATGTCTCAACAGAAATCGAGACTCATCAGACCAGGCAACATTTTTCCAGTCATTAACTGTTCAATTTTGGTGAGCTCTTGCAAATTGTAGCCTCTTTTTCCTATTTGTAGTGGAGATGAGTGGTACCCGGTGGAGTCTTCTGCTGTTGTAGCCCATCCGCCTCAAGGTTGTGCGTGTTGTGGCTTCACAAATGCTTTGCTGCATACCTCGGTTGTAACGAGTGGTTATTTCAGTCACTGTTGCCCTTCTATCAGCTCGAACCAGTCTGGCCATTCTCCTCTGACCTCTGGCATCAACAAGGCATTTCCACCCACAGAACTGCCGCTCACTGGATGTTTTTTCTTTTTTCGGACCATTCTCTGTAAACCCTAGAGATGGTTGTGCGTGAAAATCCCAGTAGATTAGCAGTTTCTGAAATACTCAGACCAGCCCTTCTGGCACCAACAATCATGCCACGTTCAAAGTCACTCAAATCAACTTTCTTCCCCATACTGATGCTCAGTTTGAACTGCAGGAGATTGTCTTGACCATGTCTACATGCCTAAATGCACTGAGTTGCCGCCATGTGATTGGCTGCTTAGAAATTAAGTGTTAACGAGCAGTTGGACAGGTGTGCCTAATAAAGTGGCCGGTGAGTGTATATATATATATACACACACACACACAATTCATTTATTTAAATGGGTTAGGGTTATGTGTGTATATATGCATAGGCGTACAAACATACATACATGCATATGCTATGCATATATATTATAAATAATATAATATATACTTTAGGTTACCAGAAGTTAGCTAACTTTAATGAAGAGTTGGTCATGTGAGTCATAGCTAGCTGCAAGTAACCCATTATCTTCCAATAAGCATTAACTAAAACTGGCTACATAAAATATACTGACTAGATTCACGAGAGGTCGGCTAATGTGTGTAAAAGTAAAAAAAATACAGTAATTTCATTATTTTACCAGCGAGCGTACTTCGGAAGCACTGAAAATGAATGGGGTTCAATGCTGGAACTATCAGTGTTTGGAACTATTGGCCGCTCCACGACATGCGTTACTTGCGCATTTTTAAGTTCCTATGGCGGTCTATAGGAGTGTCGCAACTCTCTCTCTCTATGGCTCTGGACCACACTATTGCAGGCAAAAGAAACAATGTGCAAACGTTTCAGGTCTAGCCCTACATCAGTGGGCTTTTTTTTATATAGATTTGTTTACTTGCAACCTGTGTCTTTGTTCAGTAATCTTTGTCCTTGTTCAGTAAATGTTTAGTAACCATTACAAGCAATGCCAATAAACTGTTTTTTTTTTCTTATAGAAATTCATGTGTTCTGTGTACTTTATAACATTTTGAGGGCAAATTGGGCGATCACAACAGAATAAGCAATTATTATTTTTATACATTTTCATCCAAACGAGGCGATTGAAAGCCCTGATAGGTCTGGTCACGACTTTGGAATTGTTGTCTGATGGTTGAAACGACACGAGAGGCTTCTTATACTCCTGCCTAAAACTCCATAAGCCCAGGCCAGCGTATAGCCTGCCTGTACGCAGTGTACCGGTATTGCCTAGGGATAAGTAGGAAAGATTCTTAAGTTTTAAACTCTGTAAGTAGGTTGGAAACGTCTCTGATGCATGTTTATTGTGTATGCAACACATCTCCTGTCACCTATAGCTGTTGTTCAAAGGACTCAGTGTAAAAAATAAAAAGGTAAAGTAAACATAAACCATGAACATACTCGTGCGTGCTGGCTTGAAGGGGACCATTATCCTGCATGAAGTGAGAGTATGCTATGTGTAGCACAAACGGATTCAGGCATTATGCCTCATATCCAGGATGCTGCGTTAGGCACGTTACAACTGCTGGCCGCGGGGTGAGGTCCTCGACCAGCGACCAAAACGCGCTCACCTCCCTACAACACAAGCTCTCCACCACAGTTTCCATGGGACGACACCGCCCGCAACTCACTCCCTCTCCCGGTAAGCCTGACGGTGTCAATGACAGTCACGAGGAAAACTAGTTAGCACTATCAACAATAATCACACTGACTGAAGACATGACCAGCCTACTCGTCGTCAGCTACGTTTGCAAACAACATTTTCACTGGAGATAGAGGTGAAAGCAGGACACTCGGCCCGGCAAACAGATACTCAAATTATACTCGAAAATTTACTCAATGATGCCTTATTAATTTCAGTATATTTAAAGTAGCCTATGCCTCCTCTGTAGAAAATGGTTATATTACAAGACACAAATTCAGATAGCCTTCTCAGAGCCTGTTTTATTAAAGGTTTGAATGAATGAAATGTCTCTTGTATTAGAAAAATAAATATATAATTATTACAGGTTTGAATGAATGAAATAATGTCTCTTCTGTATTAGAAAAATAAATATATAAATAAGAAATAACTAAAAGAAATACCTCCAAATTTAACAAAAATAGCTCTCACAAGCTTACAAAAACAAACTAACAAAATGTATCTTTAGTCTTCCTCTTTATCCTGTTTTTCTTCCTCATTCTCCTTGTTTGCCCATCTATGTTTTGCTTTAGAGCTGATCTTTCCCAGAAGTTTTGAAAACCAGGACATTTTCATAATTAAAAAAAAAACAAAAACAGCCAGGACAGGACGTGAAAACAGGACTGTTGGTCACCCTAACCTAGACTAAAGTCTAGGTCTAGCGCGTACATTCAGATGCTATTTTAAGCGCGCATGCTTGAGCATAATACAGAATGAACAACGCGCATACACTGTAGATGATTCTCTCATCTACACAGATGCATTTTACTTTTTGCAAATGATACATTATTATAAGGAAAACTATTTAAACACGAGTGAAATCATTGTTGTGTTTATGACGATAGGAAAAATAGGCATAAAGCGTACACATTTACCCAAATTATTATGTGCATGTTTAACCGAAGCTAATTTGGGTGGGTTTGTCCCATCCCCGGCCCAATGTCACTTCTCTTTATTTTACGGCCCTGACGAGAACATCGATCTCCTCGGCTGTGAACCATCAGAACTGTAACTAAACCAAGCGCGCCGCTGCCTGCGTCTACCTCATGTGACGTCATCGCCGAGTCGCGTAAAAAAATAACCGTTACTAACCAAAAACGTCAAAAACTGGACTTTAACACAATTTTGGAGACATTTCTAACTTTATATACATATCTTAACTGCTTTATGTACCCATTAATCGACAGTGGTGTTTAACCTGCACCATGGCCTTTAAGCTGTTGAAGCGGAGTCGCTTTTGGAACTCTGAATGTCAGACCAAAGAGAGCAATATTACATAATATTCTGTACAATCAGTTTTTTATTATTGCATTTAAAAAAATAATAATAATTCAATGCAGCAGCTATTTTTGTTAAGAACACACTTACTTTTCTCTTCCATTGGGAAAGGAATATGTAAAATGTCATAGGACAGTAACGTTATATGGATGGCTACCATTGCAACCTCTTATTCAAATCTGTGACAGATCTGGTGCTGGTACGCTGAAAAAAATTGAAAAAATTTCACATGCTTAGGATATCATTTTAAACTCATTGTTAATTTGTCCTTATTAAAATAAACATTTCTTAAAAAAAATACAATTCAAGAGTAATTAGTTATAATATGGATATTTTATTACCACTAAGTTACAAGAACATAATTTTTTCAAGATTATTCGCATAGACTTGGCAACATACCTGTCAAGTATCCCGTTTTGGCCGGGAAAGTCACGTATTTTACCATTCTTTCCCGCCGTCCTCCCGTATTAGGATTTTCCCGTAAATCTCCCGTATTTTAACCTGCGTTATTGAAAAATAATAATACCCCGGGCGGAGTAAAAAAAAAAAAAAAACATTCCCAATCTGAGCTCTGTCACTAGCCTCGCGATAACTACAGGTAGCCTACTGTAGGTGGCAGTTGTCGCGAGGTTAGTGTGTGAGGTCAGATGATGAGTGACAACGCGGGGGAAACAAAAAACAAACAAAAACAGAGTCGGATGATGGACGCTATGACAGAGCAAGCCACTCCTGCCAAAAAAAAAAAAAAACCCTCATGTACTAAATACCGCGATCGATCAATGGGATAGCGAATTTACTTTTCTGAAGAGGAGCAGGGTGGGGGACAGTCACGCGTTTTGTAACTGTGACTTTAGCATCTCACACGGGGAAGGAATGATGTATGTCAACACGAGAAAGGGTGTTTAGCATGGTACGAAAGATTGTTACAGAGAATAGGATGACGTTAGACAACAGAACTGTTTGCTCTACTCTCATGTAAAATTAACCACTCTGGCCCAGCCCACAAATACACTCCTTCCAAAACAGTTAATTACAAAGTCTGCAACAAATTTGTTCAATAACTCACTAAAAGAGTAAAGAAAAGTTATGTGAAATGATAAGAACAACTGCAAATGTAAAGAAAAACTGTAAAAGAAAAGCAATATGAAATGAAAATAATGTGTGGAATGAAAATAAAATGTAAATGTAAAGACAAGCAATGTTAAATGAACAGAAAATATGCAAATAAGCCTTTAAATAATGCTCTTAATGTACCTATATAGGCTATACCATACATATATATATATATATATATATATATATATATATATATATATATATATGTGTGTGTGTGTGTGTGTGTGTTTTCATTTAGGCTATAACACCTGTCTTAACATGTAAGGGATACTGTAGCTTGGTTGGGGTGGTGGGACTGCTCGCGGTGGGCGCCGGAAAATTTCCCTTATTTTTAAATCCAAAACTTGACAGGTATGCTTGGCAATGTTTCCCAATGTTTTATGGTCTCTGTGAACCGGATCGCAAAATATAGCCTATGTAGGCTAAAGCTTGAAATGTCCACTTTTAAACGAACAAATTCGAATCGAAAGTAAATATCGTCGGTTTGGCCTCAGAAAACCAGTAAAATCGACATTTTTCCACACTCACACTGTTAAAATCATACGATGGCAGACAGGAAGACACTTCTTCCATCATACCAGAATGTAAACGTTACAGTTAAGCTAACGTTACAGTTAAGCTAACCTCAGGTTAAATTAGCTAGCTAACTCGCTCGGGTAAAGGCTTTGAAATTATTCGACATAGTTCTGAAAATTACACCCATTAAGATTAAGTAGCCTGTGTATAAGATGTGTATTAACATAACAACAATAGCATGCTAGCTGGTTACTTACCAGGATTTGAAAGAGAAGGATTTTTTGAAATTGAAATTGACGATCTCTTTTCTCTGGCAGTTGAGCAGACGTGTGAGGGCGGTTATGCAGATCTTCTACTTTTCCGCGCGATATGGCCAGGATGTGACGTCTTTTTGTAGTCAATTTGTAGTCCATGATGATTATTTAAAAAATCAGCTTCAATATCAGATTAAATGTACCTTTTATAGTATGTGCAATTATAGTGTCTGCTGTCATTTTAATCGTGAACTGAATATAAACTTGCTAGGATTTAAATAAAATAAAAATGCAAAATACATAGACCTATTAGGCCTACAACTTTCAAGATCATTCAGGCTAGGTCTTTTAGATGTTGAAAATTAGTCGCATTGATTTACAGTGAGTAATAAATATACTTTTTCAGACATTGTTTTGATATACATTTCACATCAAATTGACGTTTTATTTCCTGACGTCAAATCAACATCGATTTAATGTCAATGATATTGACCTGAGATATAGGGACCAGAAAAAACATGTCAGATTGATACCTTTGTTTGGCCTCTTTACAACCGCAAGGAAATAATTACAAAATATAATGAAAATATGCATATTCATGCATGTTATACATGGTGGTCAAAATCTTGACTATTTGTTGATGTCAAATTGACGTCAAGGTGCCCGCTGGGAAGGTCTGAACGTTTTAAAGCAGTCTTTTAGTGCCGCTTCAGCGGTCGCGTCCGTAATGCAGAACTGTCACGTCTGTAACATTGTTTTTTCCTCATAAATGCGAACACGAAAATAAAATAAAATGAATATTTTATGTTCTGTGGAGAGCCAACCCTTCTTCATCCGATTTGCGCAGTGTAATTCACAGAATTACAACAACAAAAATCGTTGCCTCCTAAAAGTTAAAGATTTTTTTTGTCACGCATGACTGTCTATTTCCCTAATATTAAATATAAAACGCATGTGTAGACTGATATTTTTCTAATGTCTGGACTTCTTTCAGGGAGGAGCCTATGGATAAACAGACGTTTCAATATTTTGGTATTAATGCATTTTCTGAGAATTTATATTTCAAGTTTTGACTGCAAATGTCATGTCCATAATGCTGGAATTCCCAAATTTTAAATAATTTATCCTCAACTAGTTTTGTGGTGTAGGTCTACGTATTTTATAATGTTAAGTTAACTTCAAATAATAATAGTAATTTAAAGATGTGGTAGCATTGGATCCGGACGGTATGGATAACGCTGGGAGTTGGAAGGGGTGTGTCGCGATTCTGCAGGTTCGTGGATCTGAGTGCCGCGATTTCGGTTTCATATCGCATATCGTTACAGCCCTAGTCATTTAGAATGTTAAGTTCTACTTCTGTATAGTTATTTTGGTGAAAGTAACTCAAAAGTAATACAGGAGTAATGTAACGCATTACAATTCTGAGACAGTAATATTGTAAGGTAATGAATTACTTTTAAATAACAGTAACAAGTAGCCTAATATATAATGTATTACAGTTTGGAAGTAACTTGCACAACACTGGCGTTAACACTGAACTCTTAAAGGGGAAACGCCTCAAAAACAGACTGTTTGAATCAGAGGTGAGCAACATGGTGGGAAAAGGTCATAAATCACCGCATTTTTTAAGTAAAAAAAAAAAAAAAAAAAACTATAGTACTATAATTGCACCTAAGAGAACATAATAAAACAAAACAAAAAAACATGTCATGACCCCTTTAACATTCTCTAAACTGCAAGCTCAATTGTCACAACTGTTTGCTGGAAGATCAGAACTCTATTGCGTGTCTGCAAAATGTAGTAACTCACCCAAAGCATTTAATTAATGCTTCAAAACCTAGTTATTGTGTCAGCAAATTGGCAAATGCCACCAAAATAAAAAGTGTTTTTGTCATTGTGTGATCGAAATGTTTAGATGTTTTTTTCTACTTTTTTCTGCACGGACTGCTTACCATACTATACTACACTATACTATAATATACTATACTATACGACGGAGCTGGTGGGACTGAGGACAGAGGTGGAGCCGTCTGACCAAGGCGGAGCTGCAGAAACGAGGGAGCCCGGTGGAGCCATAAGGACTACAGCCCCAGATGAAGCCGAGGGAGGGAGGAGTCAAGGTTGAGCCGACTGGTCGATGAACCGAGGCAAGTTCAGCGGCTGGAGGCAGAGCCAGGGGATCCCCTTGCCAAGGCCGAAGGACATTACGCAGGTTTGAGCTCCATGTCTGTTCTGGGCTCTGGCATAAGCTCATGCAGGGCGGCTGGCTGGGCTCTGGGTCCGGAGTGGGGCTGGTGATGTCCTCCTAAGAAAGCCAGATGACGAACACGAACACGTTTTTACAGTCGCATGAGGTGGTTTTTCAGGAAAAAGGAATATTTCGCAAAACTGCAATGGAAACAGTTTTTGCGCATTTACAGGACACCTGACGTAGATGGCGCAGTATGTTTGGACAGAGGATGAGACGGAGTTCTTTATTAAACGCATAAAAGACAAAAGAATGATGGGAAAACTGGATTCTAAACCACAAAGCAATGCCACAATCAAGACCTCGAAGCAGATATGAGGGAGAAACACCTCATATGTTTCCATGTCTTTCCCTGCCATTAATGTTGGATAACACACCTACGTCTCCTTCGGTTAAAAATATGGCTAGTGCGGTGGCTGTGATTGCCTATATGTAAACCCATCCCAACATCGGTTGCCATAATTATTGGAATGACTTATTGCGAAAGGAAAAAATTGCGTTTCAGTCGCAAAACATCAGTTAATGGAAACGCCGTCATTTCGCAAAAGTTTTTTATTGACATTTAGAAAATTTCGCAAAAGTTTTGCACAAATCTGTAATGGTTACATGATTGCTTTCATGAAAGGTGACTCAAATAATCAGGGTTGGGGGCATTAAGTCCATCCTTTGGTAAGGCTGGCAGGATGACCAAGTGAGCTACCAGTCTAGTATAAACTTGGCCCTTTATCTCCACATCAGCTGACCTAATATGACCATCTGGGCTTGGGTGGGTCTTGATGACCTGTCCCATAGGTCATAAGCCTCAAGGTAGCTGGCGGTCTACAATCATAACAAATGTTTTCTCTTTCAAGTCAGGTGGGGAGGCTTGCTATTTCTGCAGAGTTTTGGTGGCTAGGAAGATAATCCCTTATGAACCTGGACCAGAATCAGTCAGCTAGGACCTGGGATTGTCTCCGATTCTGGGTTAACGACTTGAGGCAGAGACCCATTGGGCCACCCCATAAGTAGACTATTTGGCCCCACTGGGTCAGAATCTGCCACGTCTGATGACACATACCCCAAGGGAACTGACTGTGAACCCAAAACTTTGTACAAAGCCGATTTAACAGATCTCACCTCCCTCTCCCAAACTCCACCAAAATGGGGCTCTGATGGGGGATTAAAGCGGAAGTGGATCCTCTGGCGGGTAAGGTGACACTGTAGTTTAGGAACCAATGTGGGATAAGTTAACTCTGAAGCGTCCATCCTAGGAGTGTATGAACTGCAGCTGGTGCAGGAGTGATGAGATGGGGCTGATTGGAACCGATGAGAAGAAAAGGCAGGACTTCAGTAAGCATTCGAATTGGGAGACCTCGCAGATGTTTGCACTTCCATTGTAGCTGTTCTAGTGGGTAAGACTGATGCAACAGGTTAAGACCATCTGCAGTAAAGGCATTGTCAATCTTATAACTGAACTGGTCTGGGTTTTACAGAGAGAGAGAGATCTGATAGTATAATATCATTAACCAGACAGTTGATGGACAGTCAATGGGGTCAATCAACTTTCAGACATTCTTCAAATATTTTTTGTGTTCAGCAGAAGAAAGAAATTCATACAGGTTTCAAACAACTTGAGGGTGAGTAAATGATGACAGAATTTTCATTTTTATGTGAACTATTCCTTTAAGCGATAAGTTGCCATTAATAACATTTAGTGATACGGATAGAATCGTGGCCTAACTGAGCAGCATTTAATGGAACTTAACGCTAATCACTCATTCGGTAATATGACAGAATACAGATTAATATCACATAATTAGGAACAACATTGATCTGCAACTTCATAAAGAATGAATAATCACACATTAAATAAAATTAACTATCTGAATAACAGAACCGTCGCAAGCATGTCGAGCATGCATGTATGTCACAGAGATTAAATACAGTACAGTTCAGTCTGAACACTGTAAACCCAAATATAACGCAAATGGCTTAACTTTGAGGTCAAGGACTAACACCTTGATGTTATTTGCAGCAATCACCACGAACAAACTGGAATATCCTTTCAGCTGGCGGCTCGGCTCGAACAGATCGCAGTGACAGAGCAGATAGACAGAATATGGTTTCAAAATAAAAGTCCCTCTTGAGCCTTTCATCATCATCATCATCAACTCTATTTCCTGACTCTTGGTCCATTCAGAATGCACAGACATAACATGCAACATACATAAAACCAGATAAAACGGATACATATACACGAATCCGACGAGCGTTCTGTGTAGGCTGCCATCTTGTGGCAACGCCATTACTGAGCTGTTACCGGTATGTAAACAAACCTCCGTGATAACGCACCCTCGATGACAGCTACAGCCAGGCAGAATAACTTGTTGGGTTGATGATGTTAGACAGTGGCCTCCAGTCACAGATGAAGGTACAAACGATCTTACAGATTTATGAAAATAGCTTGGCAAGCCAGCTAGGCTAACGTTAGCTAACGAGGAAACTATAAAAAGATCTGTCCATTTGGCAACAATAAATAAATGAATGACATCAAATAAACGAATTCATGTTTTTCATTTGTGTCCATTATTTATCTCATTTTCACATTGCAAAAGGCAAGGGTAAGGTACAGCTAGAAAGTATACATAATATCAACAAATTAGTGTTTTTAAACCATGGAAAGAGGTCAATATAACAGCAGGAGAACAATTATGTCACATAACGTTACATTTAGCTCAGGAAAGCCATTTAATGACCATAGCATGTTAATTGAATAGAAAAAATAGCTAGAGAGGAGATTTTGCTGAGCACTATATTACATATTTATTATATTTTTTACTTATGTAATTAAATAATTGTTATTATAACAAAAACTGCATTATATTTAATTTAATTTAATTTGTTATTTTAATTTGTTATTTTTTTAAAATTCTGTCACAGTCAAGCAAATCAAACATTAACAACAGACATGTTACTAACGTTACTGCCCCCAATGCGCCCTTTACTGCTGCCATTGAAACAATTTAAACCGGAACATGTTTTCCCACTCGACATTATAAAAGTTGTAACGTTAGTGACAGTCGTAAATCGCGGGCTGTT